TGTTTATAAAGAAAGTGGCAACAGAAAAAGTGCCTAAACAGCTCCAAGTTGTAGTCTATAATAATAGTTCAATTTGAAAACATAAAACAATATAGAAAACCGACAATGAATTAAAATAATCATGTTTTACCAAAGTGTAACATTAAAAATAAGTTTTGTAATGTTGGGAAGTAGGGATAAAATCTAAATGGTAAGCTATTCTTAAATAACACATTTCTATACAATGTATGGGGCCATTACTTGACCAGCCATAGAGAGAGAAACTTTGGGCAACTAACTCCTGTGGCTTGAGGCATTTCAGATGATTTTGGTCATGTAATTAGAACTGGTTTTAAAGTACATTTGATGTAGTTCTAATGAATGATACGGTTGTTTTTACAGCCACCTCAGTGCAGTTCGGAAGCAGCTACAGACAGTCCAGTGGAGAACGACTGTGAAGAGGACTATCTTGTAATTGATGGTATTAAATTAAAAACTGGAGAATGTATTGAGAATATCACAAACAAGTTTAAAGAAATAGATGCTTTGATGTCTGAATTTTAGGGAATGACATCAATTTCCAAAGTTAGTTATGAAAATATTTACATCTTTGTTTTTTCTAGAAGTCAAAAGCTTGAAAATGCTTGGCCAAACAGTACACACAATTCATATTTGTAACAGCTTTGTATTTTGAGAATGCTGTTTTAACAGCCATCAAATGGGATTTTAGGTTACTGTTAAGAATTTAGAGTTGGCAAAACCTTGATGTATATTTGTATTTGCAGGTTATCTTCCTTGTTTGCCTTCATTTTCTAAAGCTTTATGGAATTGATTGTATAAACACACGCTTTGCACTGATGACTTAGGACTTTGATTCTAGTGTTGTTAACTATCAAAATGGTTGCCAGAGTGAATATAATTCTTAGAGATAATTCAGATCTAATATCCATAAAAAAAATGTGTATTTGTAGTGGAATTCAACTGCTACCAAATAAATGGAAAAATTGAAACATGGTTGTATGGTAAAGTTGGAGTTTTCTAAAAATTCCCAAATGGTGATTGTCTCAAAAACAAGTAACACCATCTCCAGGAAATTTGGGAAAACCAGAATCCTGGATTTCTTCTCCACTGGATCAGTATCTCCGGAGATAGAGGTAGAAAGGTAGGTAGACTTATTTACTACAAAGGAACGCAAACAAGATAATACAGAGCAGAGTCGGTCATGCAACATCATTCCCTTCGCCTCATCCTCAGATTCCATTTCTTAGGGGCTGCCCTGAACTGCTGCAGCGGCCTCCTCCCAGATCTTCTTAAGTGCCCACCAAAAACGTGGCGAAGGACCTGAAGACAAGCACTTAAATACTAGAGCAAAACCCGTAAAAGCACAAGCAAGAGAGCATGTGGGACCTGGGGATAGATGAATGTCCACTCATGATGAGAGCAGATCAGGAGTTATGGTGTACCCAGAAAACGTTAGGGGCTAAAAGAGTTTTAGCAGTAGAATCTCTTTTACTTTTCAGAAAGGTCCTCCAAGCAGCAGTGCACAGAATGCAGCGAGAGGGAGTACCACGGTGGCCAAAAGGACCTGCTAGGAGACTTTCAGGAATTCCACTGGGAGAGTATAAATTATAGTGGTGCCCACTGCATGGTCAACAGTTTGAAACCACCAGCGGCTCTGTGAGGGAGAAAGTCGAGGCTTTCTACTCCCATAAAAAGTTACAGCCTTGGAAACCCACAGAGCAGCGCCCTCCTGCTCTGTGGGGTCGCTGTGAGCGGGAATCAACTTCATGGCAGTGAGTCTGGATTTGAGTGGTGAAGCGAAGTGGACAGATTTGAGGTATGTTAGCTTCAGGGGATGATTAGAATAGGGAGATGGGCTTCAGGAGGGAGGAATAAGGGCTGTCTGCGTCAGGTTTCTGGAGTTCACAATGCTGCATACCGAGGTAGGAACACATCAAGATTAGAAGCCTGGGGTGAAATCAAGTTGGGGGACAAACCGAGTCCAGCAGTTTCTAGGTTTTGCTTGCTTCAAAGAAGTCTGAATTTCAGTACCATTCTGAGAACCAGTGAGACTAGGGATCGCAACATGTCATATTTAAATTCCAAATGTCATGAAACATTGAAGGTTAAAGCCTCTTCTTTTCCTTACAGCTGTATTTATTTTGCACATTTTCTTGAACGGAATCCATGACCTCCAGTTATAGTATTTCAAAACACCTTACGCTTCCTCTCTTTTCCAGTATGATTCTGTACTCATAAGATGTCTCAAGAATTCATTTATCCTAGTTGTGGGGTATTTTTTGGGGGGAAGGTACTGCTTAAAATCAACTGTTAAAAAAACACATCTAGTAAATCAATGAGATAAGTTGAAGTGAATACTTCTGGCTGCAACAGCCAGTGCTCACCAAAGTCAGATTCAAAGTCATAGGCCAGACACTTAAGTTTCTAGTTCAAAGTTATCTCTGTGTTGGTCTAAGTTTAGGGTTTCCACTGAAATGTTTTGGGTACATCAGTAGCTCAAAAAGTATTCTGTGAACCAACATTTGGGTTAACTTTGTCTGCAGTAGTCTCTGGGGACCCTTTATCCATGTGCAAATACTAGGCTTTTGAGATGTCGGATGTCCCAGGGATAAGGATGAAGGAGCAGTTGACCAACATCTCTGAGCTCACGATGGAGAACTGTGGCTGGCTGAAGAATCCTCTCTTGGTAAATATCTTATATAGTTAACATAAAACAAAATGCTAGCCTCAGATCCTGGTACTCCCACCTACAACCTGGGTGACTTGCACACCCAGTTTACATCTGTAGACTATGGAAGGTTTTTGTACCAAAGCCAGCTCTTTTCCCTCATATTCCAGACTGTCCTGTCTTATTGACTTCATACTTGAAGCTTAATTTATTGTGGATTCCTAATAGTGAGAGGGTTAGCTCTATCTTTATTAGAGACACACTGTTCAGATAGGTTACTCCCTATCAAATAGAGTTACTGTCCCTATTGGATTAATAGGAGGTATGATTCTAGTACTTTCAAAGTCTGTATATGTCTACAACATTGAATTCAATGGTTCTGCAGTGGATAATGACAGGATACAGTTCAATCTATCCACCTAAGATGGATGGACCCAGGCACTATGGTAAGCTTTGTAAATCAGCCTAGAATCTAAATATACACAGTGAAAATATTTGATGGTTTTCATGAGTCTGAGCTGATCTGAGAAGTGCTTTTCTCATAGTATTTATTGAATTTGATAAAATGAAGTTACATTAGAATAATAGATAATAATTTCCCGCTTGGTCTCATTTTTTAAACAATTTTTTTATTTTGAATTAGGTAGGCTTTTAAATAAAATGAAAATTTTATTAGTGATTACCAGGTTAAGCAAGAAAGAGGGTGAAAGAGAGCCTTATACCTTCTCTTAAAGGTGATGGGAAAATTTGGAAACACATAATGGTTGAATAATATGACAAACAATATCACATTAAGGATGTTGAAATGGCAAATTACATGTTACAGATATATATGTATCAAAATAAAAAATTGAATTATGCTCTTTCTTTAATGAAAGATGAAAAGATAGATCAGGTAGTAGTGATACAAATTTAAGGTGAAAGTTTTTTGATTCCAAGACCAAGATTCCTTTTGTAGAATATCTTCTAAGACAACATTATGAAATCATCAATGAATTTTTTTCTTCCACAGAACACAAGGAATAACATGCATAACACTTATCCCTAAGATGGTTTTAAAAAGGTTTTATTGACATGGAATTCACACACCATATAATTTAGTGGTTTCAATTTACCAGAAAGAGTTGTGCAATTACCACCACAAATTTAGAACAATTTCTTCATCTTTGTAACCATTATTAGCTCCCCATTTCCACACAACCTTCCTTGCTATAACACTAAAAAAAGTATTGATGTAGTTACTGTCTTGGTAGTTGACCTATATTGGATTTTATATAAAGAAAATCATACCAAAAAACAACAGCAAAATAAAATGCAGAAAATCATCAATATTACTGAAAACAAAATAATAAAAACTAGAAGGAATTGAAAATGGGTCAAAAAAGGAAAACACAATGTTAAATTTTAATCTAATTATATATCCCAGTAGGAGCCTTGGTAGTGTGGTGGGCTACATGCTGTGTCCCCAACTGGAATGTCAGCTGATCAAACCCACCAATTGATCCGTGGGAGAAAGAAGAGGCCACGAACAACTGAACCCTGCCCTACACAATTGCTGTAAGACAAAATCGACTCAATGGCAATGAGTCCGAATTTGATAACTGCAGTAATCCACTTTCCATTGCACTCTGTTTGAGAGCAAGACTCTTCACATCCATGGTCTGAGGGAATTCAGTGGAGAATTAATCTACATGAGGATTCTGCAAATGGTTTTGGGGCTTTCATTGTCATCTGTAGCCTTCTGCAAACAGGGTGCTCAGAATTTAAATTCTAATACAATTCCCTCCTCTGATCTTGGATTTTATTTACAATCTCTAGAGTACATGGGCTGGTGTTCACTTTCTGAGGGACTTAGCTGACATCTCACTTAGATGATTGCTTGTTTTAATACAAGCCTTTAGGGCTACTGACATGATTCTCAGAGGAGACCTAGACGTAATACAATTTAAAAGTAAGTCAACTCGGATGTCTCTTTCAAAGACTCCTAGAACAGGGGAATTAGATAAATTAGGTCAAAGTAAGGTCTCTTATGTTTTGACTGTCCAATTTATAGAATTCTTACATAATATAAAAAAGTGAGCAGAATAATCAACTGGAAGGACCGATGAGAAAAATTTTGAGAGTACAAAGTAATCGTTTTAAAAGGTATCCCCTCACCCACCCACTGCTCCCCACCTCCCAATCCAAGAATGATGCCATTTTTAAGTAATTAAGAAGGAATTGAAGTCAGGGTTGCTAGTTTAGAAATGAAAACAGTTTCTTATCATCAACCTCTCTGGCCAGAAAAAGAGTGTCAGATTTAATAACAGAAGGACAAAGATCAAGTCAAAAGAAAGGTTACATTACTGTGCAATGGAAAATGACCGACTTAAGGTAGCTTTCAGTAAAACTCAACTTCAGGGTAAAGATTCAATGAGGGTGTGGCTAAATCACTTTGGTAAACATAAGCTTGGACTCCGTAAATCTCTCAGCTATACAACTCCTCTTGTCCCTGAAACCTTAAACATACTGCTGTATCTGACATGCCCAAAGTGCTAGTAATTTAATCTGGAGAGGATAGCTTGTCATGAAACAAACTGATTTTTTTGATACATGGAATGGACTATAATAATATACAGAGATATTAATAGAGCTCAGTTGTGTCAAAGTTCTGCCAGCTTAGACTAACGGGGGCTGAAACAAGTTGAGAAGTTAAGAAAAAAAAAATCTATCAACTCCCAATGTTCTACAGCTAAAAATTAGGGTGGGAATCTTCTCCATCTCCTGGGGGACAAGGGTTTCAGTTTAAAAAGTGAGAAAGATGGTGGAGAAGAATGTCTCCGGGAACAGATTCAAGAGTGTGGAGAACAGTGGACTGGGGAGCATTGTATAGAGGCAGCTCAGAATTGCTAAGGGCCACGCTTCCTCTTTCTGAATGGAGGGACTGACAGTGATTATTCTGTCTTCGTTATACCACTGTATATTTTATGAGTGGGTAGAAGTAGGCCAGTGATTTGTCCTTTTAGCTCATTGGTGTTTAGATCAAGAGAGCTCAGCTGATATAGATAATCAAGTCCTAAGTTTTGAGCCCAATGCCATGATTGGGTGTGACTTGGAAGTTGGCATGTCTTTCATATTGAAAAGATGTAAATAATGTGGCCAAGAGGGTGAACCATACTGAATTGAATTATTTACCCCAGTTCTCATATCGCCCTGCGCTGGATAGTTGTCATGGCTCCATCACTAGCAGAACATACTACCATGCCTTTTGATTTTGAACTTGACCTTGAGGCTTCCTTTAAATGATGAGATAGAGTGGAAGTAATGGTATCATTTATGAATCTAA